GTGGCCCTAGCCTGTAGGCCTTGCAAAGACATTACTTTTTTGGCCTGAACACAAGTCTCTCAAACCTTTAGCCTGGCTAAATGCTTTGTACAAACAGCCGCATACTGATCTGCTCTATTCTCTGGTGATTTTCTGCTCAAGGAGCCGTACTGTAGGTGGCTTGCTCTATCTCGCCACTGGCCTTGGTAGTGGAGAAAGTACAATAAACGAATCTGACAGTGCTGAGGCCACCACCGCGCTTGGTTGTTCTGAGAAAATTATACTGAAATCTGATTGAGGAGATTAAAACCAAGAAGAACTGGCTGTGTCTTTCCCCCCAAAGTTGTTCTTTTTTTCTTCTCTTCTCTTTTTCTTTCTTTTTTCTTCTTAAGGACTTCATGCATTTCCTCTTCTCAAATAAGTCTGCAGCATTAGTATGTAAAATGTGACCTGTGATTACCAAAGGCACTGCTGCCCCATGCGGTAACTGTGGTGAAACACCCTGTTCATTCTTGCTCCAGTCCCTGGAAGTCAGTTTACGTGGTACCCATTCTTCCATTGCATAAGCAATATTATTGATTTCATGTCTGTGGCCATACAAATAGTCACAGCCATGATGATCTCCTAGGCCGTTACACTTCTGGGACATCAGGCTGCGTTATTAGTGTAAGGTGTGCCCCTTAGCATTGCTTTGTGATAGCAGCCATGTAAACCAGTCTACACTACAGGGGTTGCCAACAAAGGGAATGTTTCCTACAATAGTGCTATTACATGGTTTTCTCCTGCCTGTTTGGATAGCATAATAGAAGTCATACCCATGCATGATTTCTTGGATTTCCAAAAATCCTAGAGATCATACCCATGTGACAGCTGTTTCATTGAACTCTTATACCCCTTTAAAGACAGAGTCATAACAAGCTTCTTAAATGAATCCAGCTAGAGCCGAGAGTGCTTACCTGAATTACCGCGAGGCATTGTCTTGAAGTGTCCCTGAATAAGAGCGATGACACTTTCAGATCTGATGAAGATCATTCTCTGATAGTAAAGCACGAGTAGTTGATATCCATGGATTTGTGCCAGTTGCGAATTTTCTAATTGAATGTACAGTTCTTGCTTAGTTTCTAGTAACTGTTGAACTTCAAAATCCAATTTCTTTCAAAGGAGGAGGCAAGGTAGATTTGTACCTTTTGTAGACAAAGTACAGCAGAGATGTAGAGTGTGAGCTTTCGTGACTCAGAGCTCACATTTTTTTGAATGCTGGCTCAGCTATAGTTGCATCACAATTTTCCTCTTGTCCAGAATGGGGGATAACATACTCCCGGCTTGCTCAGGACCCTTTCCTTTTCATATTCGTTGTAGGTGATGCATAGGATTTTTAGATAATTCCCTCTGTGATGATATTTCTTCACACATGCATGGGAAACCAGAAGGCTTTTTCCTATATCTTAGATTTTTGAGGTAGCTGGATATTTGATCAATGTTTTTAGGCTTGGTTGGGTTTTGGGTTCACACGAGTGTGCCCAGGTGCTGCAGTGCTGATCGTAGGACAGATTTGCTACGGTGAAATTCGCCTATTGCAAAAAGGCCTATGCATTGCTTCTCCCCACCTCCGGATGTTGTGTCCGCCATTTGCACATAGATGAATTTTACTCTGTTAAAGACATTAATGTTTTTAAAGTGCGTTAAAATATTGTTTTAGAAATAATTATTAACAAAGAATCAATTAAAATTATTTATTAGGATAAATTTAGCTTTCTTCAGGGCAGTTTGTAGCCCCTGCATGGCAGCACTGCTCAGAAAAAGTGAACGAAAACCCAGCAGCCTATTTTCAGTTGAAATTGCAAGTTGTATATAAGTAAGCAAGAGCCTTCTTCAAGCTGGGATGCTAAATTAAAAGCTTTCAGATTCATATTTAGGCACCATCAAAGACCAACCTTTTGCTGGCAGGCAGCTTAAATGATGTCATTTAAATTTAGATTAAAAAAATAAAAACAATATTGTGTTAAATTATCTGGGTTTCTATCAGTAGCATAAGTAAGGAAATTTGTTTTGGTTTACATGTCTGTTAACCTGAGTGTCTGAGTGAATTCGATAACAAAGGAACTTGGTTTAATTTTCCAAAGGAAAATATTTTATTCCTTTACTAAACCCTTGGGGCTTTCTCCAGTAATGAACACAGGACTGGGGAGGGCTTTTGGGGCCACCATGTCCAGTGCTCTGCATTTACAGGCAGTCCTTAACCATAGGAGTCCTCAAAATTGCCACTTTGACCCCTCACCCACTGCTACAAGGAACTGAATCCGAAGATGCAGATGGGAATTTAAAAGCTTGTTCTGCTCGCTCAGCATCTTTCTTCTCAGGGGCACTGTGTGGTGCTGAGGACATTGGCCCAGGTGCCAGTGCATGATATATAACTGGCCTGAAGAGACTCATGGATACTGGGCTTTGGGATGATTTTGCTTAAAACATGAGGCTCAGAGTATTTTCTTCGTTCTTCCCCTCTTTTTCTCAACTGTGACACCAAATAAACATTGGCTCTTAGAAATGAGCTGTCCATGAGTTGGACGTACCGTAAACCAGTGGACGCAATGAAACGCCGCTGTAGCTGTGATGGCCTCTTGATGTGTGGTCTTTCCGAGTGACTTTTTAAGGACTGTCCTCCTGGCTATGATGGGGTTGAGTTGAGATTGGCACTCTGGGCCATTACCAACATGCGCAAATGAAGCCCTGATTTTATATCAATGTTGAACACTTGGCTTGATGAAGTTGGGGGAGTTCAGATGGTTGCAAGCATGACTTCCACATGCACGCTCAGCAGAGTGAAATATGGTTATTAGCTGCTTCATGGCAGTTTTCAACTGAGCTGTTAAATGGCTGCAGCCAAGGTTCACTACACTGAGATCATAATGCACGGTCCCTATTGCCGGTTTTCGGCTCGAGTTTAAACAATACGTTGGAAGAAAAATAAACAACGTGCGTATGAAATTGGGGCCAGATTACACCAGAAAGAGGCAAGCGCAGCCTTGGAAATGTTCTCTGTGCTGTATGAGTCAACGTTATTCAGATGTCAAACGTCCTCATCCAAAATGAATAAATAAGCCACATAATTGGAGCGATTCTTCCCATTTTGGGGGCTCGTATACTGGCAGTAGTGCACCATACCAGATAACGCAGATAATCTGCCACAGAATAATTAATGATGCGGCTGGGCATATTTTTTTGATGAATGCTTATGGAACCTGGTGACAGGCGTGAAATTAGAAAATTCCTTCAGCGCCCTAAAATATAAATAGCTTTCGGAACTGAAAAGAGTTTCACAGCTGAAGATTTTGTGTTGAGAGGAAAAACTTTTCAACCCCCACCCCCCCTTTCTTCTTTGCAAGTTGTTTGTCCATTCACAAAACAAATACTCTGAAGCCCAGTGCGGCTCATGGGAATAAATTTCAGGTCGAATTAGTACAGTTTCCTTGCTGTCAGGACGGTGGAATTAATGGTGTTTTGATGACACGAATTTTGAAGGGCGAACAAAGAAGCTGAAGGGAGGGAGACATGACTCCTTAGAAGCGCGGTCCTCCTCTCCCCCAGTCTCTCTTGTCTTCCTTGTCATCCGTCTGCCAATCTCCCTGTCCATGGTTAGTTAAAGGCGCTTTTTATCCTCTTTTCTTTCCCACAGAGTTTGCCAGATCCGGGCCAGTGCCTGGGTTCCAAGGGGACACGCTGCAGTTGGCCTTCATCGACTTGAGACAAGTAAGTCTTTGTGTTTTTGTTTTTTGTTTTTCTTTTAAGATGTGTGACTGAAGACCATCAGGTCTTAAGGAAAAGGGAGGGGAGGGGAAACGGCATTTGGGGATTCACGCCAGAGACCTATATTCTCCCTTCCCCCCCTCCGCTCGAGGCCACCTCCTTGCTTTAGCTATCTGGGGTCCTTGGGATGGCGGAGGTGAAAAGGGCCGATGGCGTGCGAGGGAGGTAGAAAGACGCGAGTGACCCTAGGCGATGGCCAATTGTGCTGCCGTTGGCTTCTGCAGACATGGCAAAAAAGATAGCTCTGAGACTCTCCAAGCTGACACTAAGCAGGTGTTGCTAACAGAGAAAGCAGTGATGCAGAGACCGCCTGCGTGGAACACTTTTGTTCGCAGATAATGCCCGGAGAAGCATTTCAGGAGGGCGAAGGAATTTGCATTCTGGGTTGTGCAGGGAGGGTCTATGTGTCTGTCTCTTTTTTTTCTTTTTCTCTTTATTCCCTGCCCCCCTCCCTGACTCCCTCTTTCACAGACAGTCCCCAGCCATGAATGACTAAGTGGCTGTTTATGACGATGATTACAAAAGGCTCCGCCCACTGATGCCTACCTCCCGAGGGACCCCACTATAGCGATGTTGACTGTAGCAGGTACCGAGGCACTGCTAGGGCTTGGCAAGCCGATTTAGGGGAAAGGCCCATTCTAGCAAGCCATTTGTTCTGGATAGAAATGGGCGTTATTGATATACCAGGCAGGGGGAAAAAAGTAAGCTGGGCCTGTCATCTCTTGGCACCGAAGATGGATGGGGTTGGATAGAAAGTCTGAATGAAGTAAGACTCGATGACTGATGCTTCTCTCCTATTAAAACAATCTTTTTTTGTCTGTTTAGACCCCTCTTCTTTGTGTGTCCTGCCATAATGATGCAGTGCCTCTTGTTGTCAGGGTTGACGTAGCTTGCATTCTGAAAATGTTCGAACGCGCGGGTTATTTCTTACATCTACATAATCCCTTCGATCTATGATCTCGCCACTGTGACTCTGATTCATGCTGGAACAGTTTTTCCCTCATAATGGGTTTGAGACTCTTCTCCAAGTTGGATTGATGCTTGGCGCAGTTTGTCCTCCTGCGATTCTTGTGCAAAGCTGCATTAGATTCCATAATAATAATGATAATAGTAATAGGACTTCATAAACTCATTTACGCTTCAAAGTTCAGTTCTTCGTGGTTCCCGGGCCTGTTCAATAAGGTACTTGGGCATGCCATGAAACCTAAAGTCCATTTGCAAAATGGTCATAGATGCTACACAGAATAGAAATGCATTGCCATTCCTGTATCTGATACTTTTTATCTAGATATGGCATTTTGGCAGTGTGGAGCTCTCTTTAAAGTGTGCATGACCCTGATATATTAGGAAATCTAGAGGGTTTGGTCCTTCTCCAGATGTGTAAGGATGAATAAGGGGATTTTGCAGAGGGAGGTTGTGGCTTTCCAAAGAATGAAATGCCTTCAAAATGTTTCCCAGAGGTTTAGTGTTAGTTGCAAGCCAGTGCATGTGGAAGGTTAATATGGTTCCTAAGGATAAAATGCAGGCCACTGAATCCAATCTGAACCAGGAAGTGGCTAAAGGATGGTCTTCTCAGCATTTCTGCTCCTTCATGACCAAGAAAACTGATCCAGAGGAGAGTAGTTAGGTTTGTTGTCCGAGTTCCTGTTCCAAGGTGTATGCCCAATATTTTTTTCATGTATGGTAGTACTTGGATGATGTAGTTGGGGATGGTCCTGCATTGCAGGGGGTTGAACTAGACGTGACCTCCTGAGGTCCTTTCCAATCCTCATTTTCTATGATTCTAGAGTGATGTCTTTTTAAATATGGATCTTCAGGTTTTTTTCATGATTTTGTCCAAACTGACCTGAGTCAGGGACTGGGCAAATTCTTGACCCACTTACACTGCCTAATGATGTCTTCAGATTCAGGTCAGGCAGCATCCCATTATCTTATGAGCTTCATGAGTTACTGATACAAGAAGGGTATTGCTCAAGTAGTCGCATAATCCTTGTGTGTCATTCTGAGACCCCTGGAACTGGCCTATAATTGATTTTTATTTTTATTTTTTATACGGGTACATGCTTGACTCTTTAATACAGGACAAGTTCCCTGCGTCTCTTCTGTCCTGTCTGCAACTTCACTGAGATTCTGATCATTTCATAAATTCTCTGTAGCTAACTCCTTGCAGCTAGGACTTCTCCGGGGCTAGGCACCAGCCCAGAGCGTTTTTTGCAGGACCATCGGACATACCAACCGATAGAGCGGAAAACAGATGGAAGAAAGGATGCATGAGGGTTACAACAAATACAGACTGTGTTTTTTAAGCTGTGCTCGTCTGGCAATGAATTTTGTTTCTCTTCATTGGCTGTTTTTTCTCAAGTCACTTACCATTAACACAATATTGATTTTAAACAGCGCCGAAGGGAAGGAAGATACCAGTTAAAAGTGTGTGTGTGTGTATGTATTTGACCTACTCTGCTGTTTTCAGGAACTACAGTGTTGTTGTTTTTAAAGGGATGTTGCCAACTTAAAATCTAGAAAGTCTTTTAGCCTTTCATAAAAAAAAAAGTGTAGTTTCAGGTCTTGTACCTACCTCTGAGTTGTCCTGCCAACACTCGTGGTTTTACAGTGACATTACCTGTTTTTCAAATGCTGTTCCTGTCTTTTGTGGGTAAGTGAAAGAACTGCACAAATAAGGGAAACTCACTAATTCACTGTGAAGGGGAAAACATGACTCTACGAAATGCTGTCCAAAGTAAGGTGGCAGAATTGAGAATCACCGTATTTTCATCTCAGTCTTTCAAAAATGGTAGTTCTCGGCTGTTGCAAAACAATAGTAGGTAGAAAGAGTGTTTTAAAGCAATGTGAGATTTAAGTCCCATGAAATGAATGGCTGATAAATGCATTTCCTGGTGCAACATCTGAACTTGACTGCAGATGAATAAATGAACGTCTCGGATATGAATCCTTGTAAGAAAAACATTAAACTTGACGAAATCATAGTCTGAATGCAACAACGTCCCTGTTAATTCCAATGCAATAAACTCTGACTAAATGAGTAAGTTCTTCCGTTATAAAGGAGAGGGCCCTGATGCTGCTCTTTATTGGAGGGAATTGGGAGCAGCTTCACCCCTGCATGGCACGGCAGAGTTGATCTGAGCTGCTGCTCTGTTGCTGCCAGAGGTTGATTTCAAGGCTCTGGCTTAGTAATGAAAATCAGAACCAGTCCCTGAAACTTCAGTCCCATGACTGATTTTTTCCTCCCATGCAGGGACAGTTTTAAATCTATCAACACCTCTAATCTAGAGATAAGGTAAACAGATGCATCTCATCCTGCTGCAAAATGTTCTTTATATAATGGCTGCCCCCCGCAGAGATACTCAAGTTTTTGTGTCTTTAGAGAGGAAAGTATAGGAAGATTTTTCCCTTCTACTTTAAAAGCAGACTTCATCCCCATTTTATGTAAAACCTCGGACTGAAATTTGGTTCCCTAAATGTGGTTGGTTCTGAAAATATATTGGAAAAAGTTGGCTAAGTGATTTCGGCTCCCAAGTCTCCTCGTCGAAAGTGATGTAGACTTTTAGTAGTCTAAAAAGCATTGATGACTTCCTGGAAGACTTGGTGTCAGCCCCAAGTGAGCATACGGCTGAAGTTCACTACTGTGCTCTCTCCATCTCTCAGCCAGCTGGAAGTGTTTTAGCTTTTCATTTTAATGGGTTTATTGTAGGAAGGCTGGTTGGAGAAGAGGGTTTTACATTTTCCTCTGAAGCTGCTGCTGTCTGGGGCTATCCTGATCTTTCCTCGAAGCCAGCTCAGCAGTCGTGGCCAGTTTCCAAGAAGACTGTCTCCTGCACTTGCCAACTTTTTTTTCCCTCTGGGCTCCAAAGGGTAACCATCTTACCCAGATTACAGAGGGGTCCTCACTGCAGGGTCTTACATTTGTCAAGTAGATTTTGAAATCTGTCAACTATTGAGTGGAGGTGCAGACTCGCAGGAAGACTCGATCTTTTGCTCACTCTGAAGGTTTTTTAGGGTGTTGGGAGAGGTGCCCCTGTCACTTGTTGTATCCTTTGCAACAGTAGTTCCTTGGCAGAGCTTGCAAACTTGAAAGGCACCTCTTCAAATCCCTTTGGTGGGCTGAGTGCTAGCCAACTTCTGACTTTGAGGGTATAACTGCCATTTTGCTTACCGCTTGTCACATGGCAAACATTTTAATATGTTCTTTTTACTGCGTTTCAAAGCCAATTATGGTTATTGTGGGTTTGTGTTGGATGACAGCCAGCGACCAATCAGAGGTCTCGCTCTGATGTATTAAATATTTTTCTCATTATCTCTCATACAAATACTTAGCAATAAAAGAATGCATCACTCAAGTATACAGTTTCCTCCCTGCCCCCCCCCGTCTTTCCATGTTACCTGTAGAGATATCAGTGAGCTGCTTTTTTGTGTGTGCAAGAAGCATGTAATGAATTAAAAATGGGATACAGGCAGTTCTCGGACTTGCGACACAATTGGTTCCTGAAAACTGCATCTTAAATCGAAACGTCGTAACTCAGAACCGATTTCCTGCCCCCCCCAGGAACAATGTTATAAATGGGGACTGGTTCCTGAACCAAGGACCAATACCCTATTTTCACCAAAAGCAACCCAGAATTTTGTACTCAATCAATTTATAGATGAGTAATATAGCTACATGAATGTATTTATTTTGTAAATAGCAATCACGTGGATTTGGAAGGACTTCTTTGAGGTGACTTTGCTGGATTTTTTGAAGGGCTCTTTGCTGGAGTCTTCTCAGGAGTCTTGGCTGCAGGTTTTTCTGGAGCCTTGTCTGCTTTCTTAAAGTGCCCAAGAAAGTTTGGACAGATGTTGTCCAGGGAGACAGGCGATGCAGCCAACTTGTTCGCTTGTGTGGCGTTGGATCGAGCGTCGTAAAGTTGAAACTAACGTCAGAAAGTCGG